AAAACGCTACGAATTAATTCCAACACCTAATATAATTCTTTATATTTCTTTAGACACGATAATATTAGCGATAATATTATACATTTATTTGGTAATGTACATTTATTCATCTAGTATTATTAAGAAATACCTATATCTTTTCAATGATTATTTGCAGTAATTGTATAGCTTATGGAACGTTACATTTTTTTCTTTCGTATCGCACTTTTTGTCTTAAATTTTTTTTAATACTACGGCCTTTCTGCAAAAGTATAAAAGTTAAAACACTACCACACGTACATCTCTAAATACGAGATGGATATGATCATTGCATAACAAAGTACGAAGAAACTTTTAGCGTACAGTTCGAGAAGTGGTGATAATAGATGTCGTACACAGCACGATACCCTTTCTTCTTAGAATGTTACTTTTTTATTCTTAAAGTTTTGGAACAAAATGAAACAGCAGTTATCAATTGGAAGTAGCATTTGTAATATTTGATGCATTCTTCGGAGAAACAACCAGGTCATTACACTCGTATTGTGAGCATGCGTAATGATTACGTTACGTTTTTATTCGTAAAGTTTTGAAACGAAACAAAACAGCTGTTATCAATTGGAAGTAGCATTTGTAATATTTAATGCATTCTTCGGAGAAACAACCAGGTTGTTGTACTGGTATTGTGGGCATGCGTGATAATCATGGTTTGCATTACTATAACAAGTGGGGTGAGGGTCTTCGCATTAGTCTTCGGCATGGACATTACCAAACATTCACAGTATAAAGGTATTGAACGTTTATTATATTTTTTCGTTTAAAAGAAAAAAATTCTTGAAAATTTTCTAAATTACTATATTTTAAAATAATTGTATTTTAAAATAAATATTTAATAGGTCGAGATTATATGTAAATATTTTTCTAAATGACTGTAAATGTTTAAATTGTAACACTTTTTAATATTATTATTACAAATTCATAATTAAAAAATATTACGATTTAGACACAATCGCAAAAATATTTACATGCAATCCCGACCTATTATGCCAATATGTAAAAATATAGCAATTTAATTGCTATATTTTTGTAATATTTGTTTTATAATTCTAATTATTTCACGTGTTGATAAAATTAAAAAACTCCAACATCGATATTTTAAATTTTGAATTTTGGATTTGTTATTTCAAGATGTCATAAATTTTGATAAACTCTTAATCTTAATATGTAACTAGATTTTATGTGGGCGATTAAATTAAATCGCTTGGGTTTAGAACTAATCGGATTATGGCCCAAGAGCGATGAAGTACCCAGAAATATCCGTGTGATCATTATTTTCGTTATAGTAACATTTATTTCTGGTATACCTCTCACCTGCTCCCTTATACGAGTTTGGGGAGACATATTACTTATGGTAGACAATCTCCAAGTTACTTTACCTTTGCTGGTGGTCTCGTTGAAACTTATTATTATGCGGTGCAAACGAACAGGTACAGATGAAATTATATCTATATGTGGCACGAAGATATGAAGAAAGTTTATTTATTATACAAAAGATATGAAACATAATGTAAAACGTATATTTAAAGGTACTTGCTATGTTTTAAAACAAGAAACAATATGTGACGGTTCTACAAGTGATTATTTTGCTATATTTCAAAGCACTTTTATCCATCATAAAAATGATGGCGGAAGACTGGATGGAATTAAAGACAAGAAAGGAAAGGGATGTAATGATGAGACGAGCACAAATTGCTAGAATTATTGTCATCAGCGGATACGTTCTCATGGTATTGGCGTTTATTGTGGTCATCGTTCTTCCTTATTTTGGTTTATCGTTAAGGCGTTTGACAAATCTGACGGCCCCAGGCAAGCCGTTGCCGCTGCAGACTTATTATTTTTATAACGTAGATAAAAGTCCGCAATTTGAACTAACGTATATTATTCAAGCTATTACAGTGTTCTTAGCCGCTGTAACTTACACTTCGGTAGATGCTTTTCTTGGATTCTCAATTCTTCACTTCAGTGGTCAATTGGAAAACTTTAAAAGCCGTATAACTAGTTTGATTTCATGTCAAAATTTTATTTATATTCTGAGTCATAACATAATGACTCATATACGGCTTATCAGGTATTGGCATGTACACATATAATTATATTCATCATTATATAATTATACAATTGCAAACTCAATTACAAATAAAAATCCTATAATAAAAAATTATTTAATAATTTATTAATAAAATTAATAAAATTAATTTAATAATAAGAGATTTTTATTTCTAATTTTATATTATTAGCATTGTAAAAAATGATAAAAATATTAAAAATAATTATAAAATAATATTTATTAAGATTTGTTGAAGTATGTGATAAGTATTTTATAATTATTTTTGTGTCATAATTAATTGAGGAAATATATAAAAGGTTTTTTTTACAAAACATTACTATTAGATTGTTAAAATAGTTCCCTTTTACATATGCCCTTTTTACATATAAAAACGATTTTTACACAAAAATTTATTAATTAAATTATTTTTCAAAATAAAAACTATTTATTTATTCAATAACTTACCAGTATTCTGCTAGCTGCCGGATTTGGTCTCGGTACCATTTGTTTAGATGTAATTGAAATTCTATTCCATTCTGCACACAATTCTGATTTTGCATTGTTTGACTACGGTATTTCGTTCAATAAAGCATTTTTCGAAAACAACGAGTCAAAAATATTGAGAAAATCGATTTATCATGAATTCTTTGTCTAAATGGTATCAAGATTAAATCCAATAGTTAGAAGACTGATAGCGAATGATTATTAACTATTTATATTATGAAAAATGATATACTTCTGAATAAATTTGTAAAAACTGTTTTTGTATTTTTAGCAAGCTAATAATCTAGTAATTTTTTTTAACTTTAATCTAATATTAATCTAGTAAATTTTTTTTTACTTATTCTATATACGAAGGATGTATATGTACTTGTATATAACGAACTTAATCATGTAATTTTTAAAATTGTTATAGATTCGCTGGTATTATTGAAAATACTTTTACTTTTATGATGTTAAGCTTAGTATTTTATTTTGGCATTGTATTTTGTCTACATGGATTCTTATTACTTACTGTAAGTTTAAACATAATGCCAATTAAGAATATTAAGTATACATGTTATATATTTTTATTTTTTAACTATCTCATTTTTTGTTTCGAAGTATGCGGATTGTTGATGTACCATCTAGGATTTATTAATTTTTACTAATTATCAAGGTATATTATTCAGGTGATTACCGAAGGGACTGATTTTTCTTTTGCACGATTATGTTTTCCATTAATTGGTATCACTATTTTACTTTCGCATACTTTCCTTTATTGCGGTGCCGGGGAGATTATAACAATGCAAGTAAGTTACAAATTTTTTAATGTAATTTATATAAATACCTTGTAACAGTATAGATAGTATGTAGTTAATACAATATATCAGTATATTATTACGCATATTCACGTTAAGTGCGAAGAAATATATCGTGCTCTGTGCGATCTCGAATGGTATAAATTAGAACCACAATATGCAAGGAGTCTTATCTTATTAATGATACGAGCTAGCCAACCTGTCCGTATCACTGCAGGAAAAATATTTCCACTTACAATGACCACATTTTGCAGTGTAAGATTATTAATAATTTATATAAAATTTATAAATTATTTTTATAGTTAATTTGAAAAATATTTGAATAATATACTTTTTTTAAAAAAATATTTAGAAAGAAAATATTTAATTTTGTCTATTTCCATCTATTTCCAAATTAAAGTATTTAATTATTAACACAAAAATATTAAATTAAGATAACAAAACAATCATATAAATATATATTTCTAATTATTTTAACAAAGTAATACTTTTATGTTTTTAAATATTCAATTATACAATATATTTATCAATTAAAAAATTGTTTCTGTTATTTGTATTGTCTACATAGAAAATATGTTACAGTTATTAAAAACATCGGCTGGTTATATATCATTTCTATTAGCAAGTCAAAGATAAAGAAGACATAAAAATTACAGTACGTTCATACTAGAAAATTTATGCAAAGCATAGATGTAAATAATTTTAGTTAAGTAATTATGAATAGAACGTAACAGAGATATGTTGATTATAGAAATAAAATATTTACATTATTCAATTCAATGTGTTTTATTTTATATAAATATTTTTAATTAATATATTTGTTATATATTATATTTATAGAAAAAGAGAATAATATTTTTAATATAAACATTAAATGTATATGCCATGTAATGTCAGATATAACGTCTAAATATTATATTTATTTCATATTTAATATATATTAAATTATATTACAAATATAATATATAATATAATTTATTTGACAGGATTTAATTATTAGGATTTAATTTGTACTAAATAGTCGATATATTGTATAAAATAAAAGCATACAAACTCGATGTTCATTACACAACTCAGGTAGAGCGAAGATATTACAAATGTATCTTCTCTAATAAATACGAAACGAATAACTGATGCTTTCTTACAAAATTTATTAATAACTACAGCAAAGATGCAACCGGAACGTGGGATATAACAAGTGTATATAAATACGTTTTTTTTTGCTAACTTGAGAAAAATATCTACCTCTTATTATGAATATTTTTTATCCCTAAGTTTTACACTATGTTCGAGTGCAGAAAACTTCTGAGAAACATAAAACGAGGGTCGCGCAATGTAGAATATTTAAAATACTTCGCTGCTCGTTCAGTCCTTTCAAGAATTATTAAGAGCATGCGCAAACAGTACTTCTTGCTAAATAGAAGGTAACGTTGTTGCATAAAAAGGAAACAGCAGTCAGTCTGTAGATAACATTCGACATGGATGATTCAAAGTATGCCGGATATCAAGGTGCTCATCGAAACTGCAATTTAAAAAAAAAGATATTATGAAAATATATTTATTATATTTATAATGTGTGCAAATAGCAGTGGGATTTAAGATGTATTTTATTAATGATAACAAGTTTTTTTAATTAATTATTTTTGTACAGAATTATTTATTAGAAAATAGTAAACTAGCTAATTTAACTAGAGTAAATGTATGATACTCTTATTTTGGAACGATATTTTTTGGGAATCTTTGATTTTGTGTAATCAAAACATGATTCATAAATACATTTATAATTAATAATTCATAAAAAGTTATTTTTAAATATTTTATAATATTTATTTGTACATTCTGTTAAATAACATTTTATTTATTTTATTCTAATTGTGGATTTATTTGTGAGTATTTATGATTATGTTTTATATGAATTTCGATTTATTAAGGTTTCTACAGGTAGATTTCGAATGGGCGGTGAAATTAAATCGGATTGCTTTAGATTTTATTGGACTTTGGCCTAAAACCGCAAAAAACACTCGACAGAAATTAATGTGCAATATTCGAGTGCTTATTGTTTTTCTGTCCGTAACGTGTGGCGTACTGATTCCTTCTATACATTCATTCATAAGAATTTATGGAGACATAATGCTAATGCTAGACAATTTACAATTTACCTTGCCGGCAATAAGCTGTTCGATAAGAATCGTAATTTTTTGGTGGAAGAAGGAAGGTAGACAAAATTAAATAATTGTCTGGAAAGTCTCTGCAGATGTTCAATAATTGACATTCAAAAATCCAATACTTTTACGTCAAAGAAATTACAAAATTACTTGAAAGATATTCTGGAACAAAATAATGCATTTTTCTAACAAATTTTTTCTAACAAGAAAACTTTTTATTTAAATTTTGCTTACAAATCAGTTTAGACTTTCCAGGCAATCTAATAATTTCATTCATTTGCATGAATAATGAATAAAATCTATTTAAATTATAATTACAGTGTAATAAACATTTTAGATTATTAAGTCTTTTTATTTTGCTATTTACTATTTGTTTTTATTATTTACTTAAATATTATTTTTGTTATTAAAGCTATTATAAAAGTAATATTTATATTAGGTGTTGGAATTAATTCGTAGCGTTTTACAAGTGATAGGAAGTACTTTCATTAATGTATTTTTTAATGCTCATGTGAAATAAATAACATTCTTTCATTTAAAAACGCTACGAATTAATTCCAACACCTAATAGCTTTATATCTGTCTATTTATTTTAAACTTGTTATTGCTTAAGATTAATGTTATCACAGTTGTAATTTCAATTGAATTATATTTACTGTTAAGTACGTATTTAAAATTTTAATATTAACAATTTTAAAGCTATCGTACCAATCATGAATATGATCGCGGAAGATTGGATAAAATCGAAGAGTGTGCAAGACAGAAATGTTATGATTAGAAGAGCGTACACTGCACGTATTATTATTACTTGCGCCTATTGCATAATGGGACTAGCATGTTTTTTTATTATTATTCTCCCAAGCTTTGGAATATCAATGAGACTAACTCCCAATATCACTGATCCAGGCAAGCCAATGCCTCTACAAACGTATTATATTTACGACACAACTAAAAGACCGCAATACGAAATAACGTTTATTAGTCAAGCTGTTTACATTCTTCTTGCCATTATGTCTTATACTGGAATCGATAATTTCCTTGGATTATTAATTTTTCATATATGCGGTCAATTAGACATTTTGAAAAATCGTTTGACACGTTTGGATAAATATATCAATTCTCGCAATATGCTGAAAAGTTGCATGATAAAGCACATTCGTTTACTTAGGTTTGATATTTTATGAATAAAATATATTATTAATTAAATATACATAATACAAGGAATATATTTTATAGAATCATTGGCGTTATTGAAGATACGTATAATATAACACTTTTAGCGTTATTTTTATACTTTGCAATACTTTTCGCTTTCTATGGCTTCCGAATAATTATCGTAAGTATTGAATTATAAATAAAAATTTATTTGTATAAATTAGATATTGATAATTTATAAACAAAAAATATATTAGGTGTTATTAAATTAAATATTACAAACATCTAAAGTATTGCCAATATGAGAATATTACCATATATCTTTAACACGTACCATAAATTATTTAGCTATTCGACGAAGGAAATAATCTATCGATCACTCACTTGATATATTTTATATGCAACGTTTTCACTATATTTTCGCATATGTGTCTCTATTGTGCCTTGGGTGAGATTTTAATGGCTCGGGTGAGTTTTATTCTTTTTATTATAAAACGTTTACATATATAATATTATACAATTTATTTCAAAATAATTACCTACATAATGTTAAAATAATTAGTGACATTTAATGTGATTAGTTTAAATTTATTATTTAAAAGATTACTATCGTTTTTTTAGAAATATAAATATCGTGATTGTGTATATTAAAATGTATAAAAGAGAAGAATTTCAATATAAAATCAATCTGCAGCAATTTTTTTCTGAAAAACTATTATTAACTGCTGTACTTAATCTGTATATGCATGTTAATCTATGATCTATACGTTAATTTACAATCTTATACGAATACGTGATATAATTATCTTATTTAATTGTGCAACTAATGCATACAGAATTGCTACTAATATTTTAGTAAAATTTTCCTTTTGCCATACAGTTTTTAATTTTATTTATATTTTAAAATATTTTATCTTGTTTGATATTATTCACATACAAAAGTTTAAATATATAGTAGATAATTTTTTGCATTTAGTATCTTCATATACTTACATAATGTATGATTGTACATATAATCTGCACATGAACTCGCACTGGTCTTGAATGCACATAATAATCGGTATCTAAAAACATTCTTGATTTTTAAGTGTAATGAAATATATTATGCGGCATATAATAATAAATGGTATTCCGTGGATCCAAAAATTGCGAAAGATTTGTTGTTTCTATTGATAAGAAATACTAAACCAGTCTATCTTACCGCTGGAAAAGTGTTTCCGATGACAATGGCAACATTTTGCGGTGTAAAGTATTTTAATTATAATTATTGCATTATAAAATATTTAATTGTTATTGTGATATTTCCCGTGCAGTAATCTATATCATATAAATTTTATATGTATATCTATACTTTATTTTATTGTATTTATTGCACAATGTTAAACTTTATAATCATAGAGTGTGTTATTAATTATATTACTTCTAAATGTGTATTTTTCAGTTAATGAAAACGTCAGCTGGTTATATATCTGTTTTGCATACAACAAAGGGTTAATAAATAAAGATAAATCTAAATATTTTTCAACATTATACGTTTTTTAATAGAACATAATAATTTAAGAACTCTACAAGTATTTATATATTAATTGCAAATAAATTATGAATCTTATTGCACGAGATAAAATATAATATAATGCGGATTTTATACTACATTCAGGTACAGATTTGAATTTAGATTAAAATTTAAGTGAACTTAAATCAATTTAAATTTCTGCCTTTTATAAATTGAATTATTTAAAAAATATATGGTAATTATACAGTATGGGGGATGCTGTTCCAATGATCTTGAGAAATGTTGTCAAGGTCATAATCCTGAATAACTTTGCCTTAACAATTAAGTGGCGATCTCTTAGTTTCTCAGATATTAGTTTCTGAGATATTTAAAGTTAAAGTGTAATTTCAATAATAAATTTTTACTTTGAACGACAAACTTGACTAGACAACCTTGATATATATTGTTAAGATCATGGCCCTCAGTGATCTCCAACAGGATTTAACTGTTATTCGTTATTCATTAAAAAGTTATTAAGAATCACAATTAATTATTGTCTGTAATATTTTGACTAATATAAGATTTAACACAGAAATGTTCAATTTTAGCTATATTAGAAAATAAAAGAAATGTTATAATTTAAATTATAGTTCCGTAAAGAAGATCGGAGATCCTTATGCAGAAGTGTGGAATGGACGCTTGGCATAGAAAGTTGAACGCTCCTAGGCAGGGAAGAGTGTGGGATGGACTTCGCTTCACTTGAAATATCTACTTTACCTCAGTTTGGTATAAAAGAAGAGCATTAAACTATCTAGCAAAATATATAGTCGAATATATAGTAGAATATATGCCATATGTTAAAAAATTACATTCTATTGTATTTATGAAAATTGTTTCGTCAATAATTTTTAACAAATAATAACTACCAGCTAAAACATATTGGAGGTCACTCAAGATCATGACCTTGACAACAATGTCAAGATCAAAGTCATTGAAGCAGCATCCCCAATATTATATAATTTCCATTTATAATTAGCTTTTCTATGATAAAAGAGATTGAATGAGATCTTGTTTAAGACTCTTAAGTAGTTATAAAAGAAACGTAAAGTGCATCTACTAGTTTTTACTCAATGCGCATACATAGCCTATTTTCACTTCAGAAGTCTATATACAGTTAAGGGAGATAAGGATAAGGATCTCTGTCCATTTTTTACAAATGTTTTAATGCGATCTCATCGCATTTCATTTCATTCTCTTTACAAATGGCATGCAAGAAAAATCAATGTTTCTCGCTTATGACGTCACGATTCAAAATAGCTGAGGTGATTACTTAGGAGTCTTAACAGAAAAAGAAGTTTCACGATATATATCATTTACTTCTTTTTACTCATTTTGTTATCAATTGAATGATCAAATATGAACAAAACAGTATTGGGTCAAATCCAATCCTACATTTCTAGACATTTCTTGAAAATTTATCATAGAAGGGTTTAAATCACATTTATCCCTCTTTATATTTTTCCAAAGTAGTCATCATCAAAATAACAAGAATTACGAGAGTACAATGTCATACATGTGATATATTCTCACGCATGCATGATCGGTTGTATATGATTACACCAAGGCACGCAAGTTGATACATAATTGAATGGTCAAACGAGCCAAGGGTTCGACCCCAATTATACAAAGAGTCTCGTTCGAAGACGATAACATTATAAAAACATATGTCTGTACCTGTAACGCACCTATAGGTAATAATATTGCATTTGCCAAATAGCATATATGAATGTTATGATGGTAACATTTTATACTCACCCATCTATTTTTAATAATCTCATTATCACATATATTGAATTACTGCAATTATATATAGCAAAATCTCTATTATAAAAATTAGAACCCCTGCTCTCTCAATGATCTTATTATTAACTTTTCTATATTCTAAATGTTTAAGCTTCTATATTTTTATCTTTGCATTATTTCCCATTCTTCATATTTGATCATGTAATCATCACGCAGCAACGTATAAAATGAAAATATTGATAAAAAATATTAGATATTATGTTTATCGTAATAATATTTATCGTAATAATAATTTAACGATGTTATTACTTTGCACATTATAAGTATAATTTCTATAATTAATTATTCTGCACACACATATATGAAAGGTGTAGATATCAAAAAGTCATATAGTTTATGAGATACTTTATGTATAAAAAAATTATATCAGAATAAAATATAAAATATCTTTTAAACTATAATTTTTTTCTATAAACATATTTTAATACTTTCATGCATAAAATCATGAAATAAATTAATTGGTACAACACAAATACATAGATAATTGTAGGTAAAATATCTTGTACACGCGACAGATATTTTTTAATAAATGAATAATAATTTATTAATATTAAATAATTTTAATTAAAGTATTAATAGATAGATAATCTGGTTTAAATCTTCTCTTCAGTATTGCAAATTAAAGTTATACTTTAATAAATTCAAACATATGACACTTAAGTCTTCAAGAAAATGATTCTTCATTTCAATAACTATTACAGTGATTAATGATGGATCACTGCAACGCATTGATTGCTTTGAAAACAGCAACTCAATCTTCACGATGACATTATCTAAATACAAAAAGAAGTGAGATTTTTAATTGAATATCTGCAGTATGTAAGTTATATATGGTACGTAAATTATTTTTTTTACAACACTATATATTATAGCATAATTATATATATGTATTATATATATGTTGCATATATAGATACATGTATTGTATGCATATATGTAATGCACAATCATTAATTATTTATTTAAAAACTAAATTATCTTGTTACTAATCAAGAAATATATGTATTGACAGTTTATCTTTTCCAATAAATTCAAAAATTTTTCAACTTATAAACAATTTAATTTTTTTAATATTTATAGCTTTTATCTTAAAAAAGTATTATTTAATAATTCTGATAATATCTGGATTATTTAATTTATCATTTATTATTTACATCTTATTTTGAATTAATGTGTATATTAATATTATTTCTCACACTATTATCACATATAGCAATGTCAACGATTAAAAATTTTTACGAATTGGTTTATCTTGAAAGACAAAAACCATACAGTGCAAAATTCTATTCTACATAGCTTATTACTAACTTAAGTATAGTAACATTACAAGCTACAGCTGATTGTAAAAACGTGTGAATATGATGTATGTGCATTTTTCTAACTAACATGGTAATAATCTGTTATTACGAAAACTTTTTTACTTTGCGTGATATTCATCGTTGAAATGCTAAAAACTCGAAACGAGGGGATGCAGAATATTTAAAATACATCGTCGCAAGTTGATCGCTCGATACTTCTGAACATAAAGAGCATGCGTGTGAAACTTTTGCTGCAGTAGATATTTTCTGAAAAAGAAATAGGTGCCAGTCTTTAAATAACATTCAACATGGACAGTTCAAAATATACAGCATATCAAGGTGCTTCTTGTGATCATTGTAATTGAGAAAGAGATGAGTAATTTTATAAAACATACGATTATTTATGATAACATTTAATGTTTTTGTTATATTTTGTCATCATTAATAAAAAAATATTTTTTCAATGCTGATTATTAATATACTTATAACTATTGTAATAAACATTAGCATTTATCATCATATTTGAAATAAGGATCTGTATTGTCTCTGTTTATTCCTATTTATTATTTTTTAAAGAATTGGTAAATTTGTATAATTAATAAAACATTTATTTTTGCAAACATTTTATTTATGTAATTTAATAAACATAATATTTTATACGTTCTTTCTAAATCTGAATCAGTGGATAGTCACTAATTACCCAGTGGCACTGATAATCAACTGAAGTTCAACTAAAAAAAGAAAGAATATTTGAGCATTATCTAACTAAAATATTGATATTTGCATTGTCAATTTTAATTTTCCAATACCATATTCATTGAATTTAAGCACTAAAACAAGGTTAGTTAGATCACATAATAAAGATTAACTAGGTTAAGGATCTCACATTTAATTCACTGATTATCAGTGGCATACTTGATTATCCACTGACTCAGATTTAGAGAGTTTATATTAATTATTAATTCATGTATTAATTTAAGATTTTATTACGTTTTTCATAAGCTATGACTTACTTAAGTTTCTATAGGTAGATTTCGAATGGGCAGTGAAACTCAATCGTATAACTTTAGATTTTATTGGACTTTGGCCTAAAACCGCACAAAATCCTCGACAGAAATTAATGTGCAATTTTCGAGTACTCATCGTTTTCACAGCGATAACATTCGGCGTTCTGATTCCTTCTATACATTCCTTTATAAGAATTTATGGTGATATCATGCTAATGATAGATAATTTACAATTTACTTTACCAGCTATAAGCTGTTCGATAAGAATCGCGATTTTTTGGTGGAAAAAAGAAGGTACAAATAATTTCCTGCTGTAACTCTGAATTGTTAAATATAATAAACATATAAGCGACATGCAAACTTATAACAAAATTACAATAAATTCTAATTAAAAAAAAATTATTTATGTTTTTAGATTATTTAAATTTATACGTTACGAAATTAATTTTTACATACGTTATGAAATTAATTTTTTAAACATGCACATATATGTATGCATATCTATGTGTCTGATTTATTAATTTATGTAAATAGCAAACTTTAAATTAGAAATTTAGAATTATAAAACAAAATCTTAAATTGTTTATTTATATCCTTTTCTATTTTTCTATCTATCATTTTTCTTAAAAATACAAGATAATTTTTTTTCGATTCTATTATTAAGCTTATATTAAACTATTTTTGCTTAAAATTAAACCTATTGTATAATAGTTTCTATTTCAATAATATTAAATGTGTATTAAAATACACAATATTAATATACAATATTAACATTTTTGAAGCTATCACACCAATCATTGATATGATTGCGGAGGATTGGATAAAATCGAAAAATGCGCAAGAGAGAAATATTATGATCAAAAAAGCGCAAATTTCACGTATGATTATTGTGTGTGCATATTGTATCATGGTCGTGGGATGCTTATTTGTTATCGTTCCCCCTGGATTTGGAATACCGATAAGATTAACGACCAATATTACTGATCCAGGCAAAATAGTACCATTACAAACTCATTATATTTACGATGTAACAAAACAACCTCAATACGAATTGACGTATATTAGTCAAACTATCTATATAGTTCTCGCAGTTTTATCTTATACTGGAATCGATCATTTTCTTGGGCTGCTAGTTTTCCATATATCTGGTCAGTTAAACATTCTCAAAAATCGTTTGATAAATTTGGATAAATATATCAATTCTCACGACATGTTAAAAATATGCGTGGCACGACACATTCGTTTACTTAGGTATAGTATTTTCCAAAAAATTTACAGTAATAATTAATTTGTGAAAAATAAATGTGAAAAATATATGGTAATAATAATTTATATAATTTATTTTTAACATATAAAAATAAGAGCATAAAAAACCACAGCACAAGTTATAGTTTGTGATATTTAATTATTATTACATTAATTAAAACATTACATATTTAATGTTTTAATTAATATAATAATAATTAAATATCACAAACTATAACTTGTGCTGTGGTTTTTTATGCTCTTATTTTTATATGTTTAATATTATA